CAAACTCCAGGCCTCCCCCTACCTGCCCCACCCGGGACTTATCAGACTCCACAGCCAGCACCCGCCCTCAGCTGACCCCGCCTGCCTAGGCTAAGCACGCACCTCTGGGATGGGCACCTCCAGGCTGGTGCCTGATGGGGCCCGGATGGCCAAGAGGGTATCTCCTAGAATGACAGAGAATGGGTCAGAGCCCATAGGCTAAATCTGAGCTGGGAACAGAGGTGCCTGCCTTTTGGAGCAAGGCAGGAGATCATGGTCTCTGAGGGACTAGTCAGTGGGTCTCACCCATCCCCTACAATGGCTGGGCAGAACTAAAGCTCTTCTCTGAGGGTCAGTAACCAGGAAATCTGAATTCAAGTATGTGGAGTGAAAGATCACTGGCCACAGGCACCTCACTCCACCAATGGCTGATCCCTAGGTGAAGGTGTTCTAGCCAAGGCCAACATCCCTTTCCCATGACCAGCCTTGGGGATACAAGATGGAGAAGAAACACGTCAGTGGGGCACAGTGGCTCAGGCCTATAATCCCAGCACTTTAGGGGGTCAAGCCAGTTAAACAGCTTGAGCTCAGGAGTTCAAGACCAGCCTGGGCAACATAGCAAGACCTCGTCTCTTTAAAAAAAAAAGAACTGATCCTGCATTCACAATACAACTAAATAACAGATTGGAAGTGGGCACCCTCATACCCTCCATACAAGCGTGTAGGAGTCTGCACACAAGCAAATACACACATATCCTCTCTCCCCCTCTTCCCCCTTGTGCCTCTATCATGCCCAAGAAGCCAAATCCAGGTAAAAGTGCAGATGAGAACAAACCCAGGGACTCAATCCAGAATTCCTGTACCCTCTCAGTATAGCTGACCTCCACAGGGTCCCAGTGCCCCTCAGACGGAAGACTTACCCTGCCTGGGTCCTCTCTGAGCAGGACCCAGAAACCCTCTTGAGAGACGAAACTCTCCTGAGACACTGAGCCCGGTGCTCAGGGCTTTGGCTGAGCCCAGCCCACCCCCTTGTCCCTACCCAGGCTCTGCTCACCAGCAAAGCATCTGCAGATGTCCTCATGAGTGACGTAGGCCAAAGTGTGAGGGTTAAGGAGAATGGCTGATGCCCTATGGTGAGAAACGGCAGACTACAGAGAAGACCCAACTCTTTAGCCAAGGTCTGACACATATGCTGTCAGAGAAAGTTCTGGGGACTGGGGTTCACCCGAGGAGGGATTACAGGCTAAGACTGGAAGGGAAGGGGCTCTGAGGAGGGAGCTGAGGCTGGGGACATGGCCAGGGGCCACAGGACAAGCTCCCAAGAGGGAGAGGGCCCAGGGCAAGTTGAACCAGAGGGCCCCTTGCCCACTCGCCACAGCAGAGACCGCCAGGAGGATATCAGCTGTTCTGCACGTCCTCTGTGACATTCCGGATGCTCTGCTGCACCCACACCTTGTGCTGGTCTAGTTCTTGCTCCCGCTGTTGCAGCTCCTCGATCTCTGCCTTGAGCTCAATCAGCTTGTCGGCAATCTCCCGGGTATTGCAGCCAGGCCCCACACCCCTGAGCCCAGGGAGTGGGGCCGAGAGGAACTGCTGAGAACTCTGGGTCCCACGGCCCCTGCCTTCTTCCGCATCCTCCACCCCACACCCCTGACACTTCTGGGTGGGAGACTCTACTACCCTCCCACTATCCCCACTCACTTCCACTGGATGCTGTTCTTGGACTTTTTCTCGATCAGCCCGATACCTTCCAAAACATTGGTAATGTCATAAATCCGGCGCTTCTGGCGTACAGCTAGGGTGTCAGCTGCCTGGCAGACAGAACAGAGAATGATCAGCTCCACTCTCGGGTGTACCCCCAGTCACCCAGAGACGTGGTCTGGGAAGGGAGTAACCTGGGTTCCAACCCTGTAGTGCCTCTCAGGTGCTACTGCAGCTCAGGACCGCAGTGTGAGAAGAGACCTGGCGCACAGCCCTGAACTGGTGTTCTGAAGCTATTCTCCCAGCCAGCCATGAAGGGCCACGAGGACAAACACCTGCAGCCCCGAGCCTGGCCCACAGCTGTCGCTCAATGGCCTCGGCTGAATGAATGAAATATCCCCCGGCCTCTCTCCTCTGAGAAAGCACACAATGGCGGGCGGCTCTCGGAGGACCCGGCCGGGCCGCCCCCGGGGTTCCCGCTACCAGCTCAGGCCTTGTCCACCACCCCTCCTTGTCGTCCCTTAGCCCGGGCCGCACCAGCTTGAGGTCAAGCACGCCGTCCTTGGCCTCCTGCAGAAGCGACACGAACTTGGTGGTGAGTAGTCCCAGGCTCTTTTCGTGTCGGCTTGGAGTGCCCGGGGGCGGCGGCGCCTGCGGCCCGGCCTCCGCCATCTCGCCCGCCCGCCGCCTCCCCTCAGCGAGGCCAGGCCAGGCCGGCGCCGCCGCCACTTCCGCTTCCGTTCCTGCCCTCCCGGCCGCCGGAGCCAGTCGCTTCTTCCGCTTCCGCCGCATGCCCCCTCCAGGGAACGCGTCGCTATTTTTGTCTGCAGGCGCAGCCGCAAAAGTTCAGGGACCATTAGCAAATGTCCAGCCGCCGAATAAGACGAAAACTACTTGGGTATATCTGGAGTTGCGGATGAAGTTGGGGAGGAATGAGGAGGGTGTCAGTTGGCAGCCCTGGCAGTAGAGAAAGGGGCGCCATCGGAACTTTCCTTGCCAATTTGCCCCAACATCACCAACTCTCTGAAGTCCCTATCTCGGGAGAGGAGACCACACTACCTAACTAATCCAATCTGTTCCCTCAAGCCTGTTCCTTTTTTTTGTTCTCCTATTTATTTATTTAGAGATGCAGTCTCGCTCTGTCACCAGGCTGGAGTGCAATGGGGCAATATCGGCTCACTGCAACCTCCGCCTCCCGGGTTCAAGTGATTCTTCTGCCTCAGCCTCCCGAGTAGTTGGGACTAAATGCACGCGCCACCACGCCCAGCTAATTTTTGTAATTTTAGTAGAGGCAGGGTTTCACCATTTTGGCCAGGATGGTCTTGATCTCTTGACCTCGTGATCCGCCCGCCTCAGACTCCCAAAGTGTTGGGATTACAGGCGTGAGCCACTGCGCCCTGCCTATTCATATATATATATAGTTGGTTTTGTTTGTTTGTTTGTTTGTTTTAAATGGATCTTCGCTCCTGTCACCCAAGCTGGAGCACAATGGCACAATCTCGGCTCATCGAAACCTCTGCCTCCCGAGTTGAAGCGATTCTCCTGCCTCAGCCTCCCAAGTAGCTGGGTTACAGGCCCACGCCACCACACCCTGCTAATTTTGTATTTTTAGTCGAGACGCAATTTCTCCATGTTAGTCAGGCAGATCTCACTCAAACTCCTGACCTCAGGTGATCCACCCACCTCGGCCTGCCAAAGCGCTGGGATTACAGGTGTGAGCCACCTCGCCCCCTGGCCATTTTGTTATTTTTAACATTGTTGTTTCTTTCAGGTCAGGTTCTCTGGGAAATGGGACTCATTTTGCAGCAAGTTTGTTGGTGATCCACACCTTTTTTTTGAAGTGGGTCTCAATTTGTTTGTTGCCCAGGCTGGAGTGCAGTGGCAGGATCAATGCAGTCTCAGCTTCCTGGGCTTAAGCAATTCTCCCACCCCAACCTCCCAAGTAGCTGGGACCACAGGCATGCACCACCACATCTGGCTCGTTTATTTTGTTTTTGTTTTTCAGTCAGAGTCTCACTCTGTTGCCTAGGCTGGAGTGCAATGGCACAATCCGCTCACTGCTACCTCCGCCTCCTGGATTCAAGCAATTCTCCTGCCTCAGCCTCTTGAGTAGCTGGGATTACAGGCACCTGTCACCACACCCAGCTAACTTTCGTATTTTTTAGTAGAGACCGGGTTTCACCACGTTGGTCAGGCTGGTTTCGAACTCCTGACCTCGTGATCCGCCCACTTTGGACTCCCAAAGTGCTGGGATTACAGGTGTGAGCTTCTGCACCTGGCCGTTATTTTTAGTTTTTGTAGAGATGAGGGGCTCACTATATGGCCCAGGTTAGTCTCGAACTGGTGGGCTCAAGCTATCCTCCCACCTCAGCCTCCCACAATGCTGAGATTACAGGCGTGAGCCATCGCACCTGGCCAGGATCCACATCTTTAAGGGAGTAAAACAAGCAGAATTGGGCAAATGCAATTATATTATAGGCCTCAGCCTATTCTACTAGGACCTCTGAAATTGGGGTAGCACTACTGAAGGGTTCATGTTCACAAGATAGTACCAATGCCTTTGCAGCCCAATATTGACTGAGAGACTCAGTGGTGTAACCTCAGCAGCCTACACTCACATTTGGAGAATGAGTGCCTCTATCCTGAAAGGTGGATTTGGGTGGTGGACTGAACATCCACTAAATTATTACCACCTTGTAGTCCCTTTCCTGGGTCCCTGTAATTCTCAAGATAAACATAGCTGCCCAGTTGTGGTGACTCATACCTGTAATCCCAACACTTTGGGAGGCTGAGGCAGACAGATCGCTTGAGCCCAGGAGGCTGCAGTGAGCTATGATGGTGACACTGTACTCCAGCCTTGGTAACAGATCGAGACCCTGTCAAACAAAAAAGATAAACACACTTTTCATGACCCTCTCCTGCCACCCCTGGCCGCACCCCTCTTAACAACAGCCTGCCACCTCTCACTTCTCCGCAGAGGTACACACCCTCCTCAGAGTCAGGTCAACACAGTTTCCATCCTGTGATGTTGACGTCATCTACATTCATATCTGCACACTGCCCACCACCCCAGGTTGAGGCCAAGTCTAGCAAATCCCTGTCTCCTGTTCTGAGCTAAGAGGTTCTGGGAGGGCTGGTCAAGACTTGTTGATCACAAGTACATCCCGCCCATCCACCCCCTCCCCCACCCACCCCCTCCCCCACCCCCCCCACCCCCNCCCCCGCTCAGGGAAGTGGCGCCCAGCCCTCCCCACCCTCCATGCAAATGCTTTTTCCTGTTGGGAATAAAATGCCAGAGACTCAGCTTCCTTCCTTTCTGTCTGTGGCCTTGGGGAGGGAGGAGCCTTGGTGGGAAAAAAGGGCTTCTGGGCTGGGGAGTGGGAGAGACTTCCTTGGGGAGAGGAATTCAGCTGCACGCTGGAGTCAGCTGGAGTCACCCAGGCCCTGACGAGTGGCAGGCATGCCCAGCTCCATTGGGGGAAGAGGGCTGTTCTCAAGGTCAAGATCATTTGTGGAGGGCGAACTGGACGCCTGATCAAATCTGGTAAGTTCTGTACCAAATTGTCCTGTGCAGCTCAGAGCAGGACCAGGGTCCAGTTGAGACCTGTGCCCACCCTGTCTCACTTGGCATCTTCAGGGGCATAACTGGGAAACCTAGCAGGCAAAGCCTCCCAGGTGCCCACTGCATCACACCTCCTCCCTCTCATTTCCTGAGAGGACCAGGAAGAACCTCCTTCCTCCTTCTCAGAAGGGCCTAGACAGAGGCAGCAGCTCAGAGGGGCATCTACTCTGCCTGCTTGCCCCGGGCCCACCTCAGCCCCGGCTCCACCAGGCCCGCAATGGACTCAGCAGCCAAGGATGAAATGCAGCCCACGTTGTCCCCTGGTATGAACCTTCTAAGTGGGCTGGGGGAGGAATGATGGCAACAAAGATGGGACTGGATGGGTATGGTGGCTCACACCTGTAATCCCAGCAATTTGGAAGGCCGAGATGGGTGGATGACCTGAGGTCAGGAGTTCAAGACTAACTTGGCCAGCATAGTGAAACCCGTCTCTACTAAAAATACAAAAGCTAGCTGGGCATGGTGGCACACGCCTATAATCCCAGCCCCTCGGGAGGCTGAGGCTGGAGAATCACTTGAACCCTGGAGGCGGAGGTTGCAGTGAGCTGAGATCACCCCATTGCACTCCAGCCTGGGCAACAGAACGAGACTCTGCCTCAAAAAAAAATAAATAAATAGAAAAGAAAGATGGGACTAGGGGCATTGGGCCCTCCCCCTCCCTGACTGACATGGCTACCCAGGCTCTTCCTGCCCAGGGCCTGAGTGGCCGGAGCAGGAGCGGGCAGAGCGGCTAGCCCGGGGTGCAGCGCTCAAGTGGGCCTCGGGCATCTTCTACCAGCCGGAGCAGCTGGCCAGGCTAGGCCAGTACCGCAGCCGAGAGGTGCAGCGTACCTGCTCCCTGGAAGCACGCCTCAAGGTAGGCATGGAGCAGGGTGGGGTGGGTGCTGGGACTGTGCTGCAGGGTTGGCCAGGCCTCACTGGCTCCATCTCTCCACAGTCAGTGATGCAGTCATACCTGGAAGGCGTGCAGACGGGTGTGTGGCAGCTGGCCCGGGCCCTTGAGTCCGTGCAGGAAACCCGGGAGGCCCTGAGCCAGGCTTGTGGGTTGCTCCAGGGTGTGTCCCAGGCCTCACAGCCCCTACAGCCCCTACGGGAGCAGGTTGCCCAGCACAAGCAACTGCAGGCCCTGTCTCAGTTGCTGCCTCGGCTACGGGCAGGTGAGATGCAGGGATCCTGGTCCTCAGTCTCCAACAGTCAGTCCACAAACACCCATCCCTGACCAAAGGGCTGGGGCACTAGATGGGGAACCATATAGAGCGGCGCACCAGGGACCTTCCAGAGAGTAGCCCAGGCTGCCCATGGCCTATGAGGCAGGGTGCAAATCGGCTCATCCTGGGGTTCCCAAGCGTGGGATGCCTGAGTTGGGACAGACACCCAGTCACGTGACTCTGGCCACCTGCTTACCAATATATTGAAACTCTTCCTTAACAGAGTGGCTGAGTGACTACTGGCAGGGCCCCTCGATTTCCCCTGCCCTCCCTCCAGCATCCTCAGCTTTTTCGTGTTCCATGAGCTCACGCATTGCCCTCTGGCCCACCTGGCCTCTAGGACATTGCCAAGATCCTCAGATTGGCCAGTACTCTACTGGTTATTTTTTTATTTGTGGTTTTTTGTTTATGTGTCTTTTTTTTTTTTTTTAGTTTTAGTTTTTATTTTGAGAGGGAGTCTCGCTCTGTCGCCAGGCTGGAGAGCAGTGGCTGGATCTCGGCTCACTGCAACCTCTACCTCCTGGGTTCAAGCAATTCTCCTGCCACAGCCTCCCGAGTCGCTGGGACTACAGGTGTGTGTCACCACGCCCGGCGAATTTTTGTGTATTTATTAAAGACAGGGTTTCACCATGTTGGACAGGACAGTCTCGATTTCCTGACCTTGTGATCTGCCCTCCTTGGCCTCCCAAAGTGCTGGGATTACAAGCACGAGCCACTGTGCCCGGCCTATTATTATTGTTATTATTTTTTTGAGACAGAGTTTCGCTCTTGTTGCCCAGGTTGGAGTGCAATGTTGCGATCTCAGCTCACTGCAGCCTCTGCCTCCCAGGTTCAAGCAATTCTCCTGCCTCAGCCTCCTGAGTAGCTGGGATTACAGGCATGCACCACCACACCCAGCTAATTTTGTATTTTTAGTAGAGATAGGGTTTCTCCATGTTGGTCAGGCTGGTCTCGAACTCCCTACCTCAAGTGATCTGCCCGCCTCAGCCTCCCAAAGTGTTGGGATTACAGGCATAAGCCACCTTGCCAGGCCCTTTTGTTTGTTTTTTATTTTGTTTTGTTTTTGAGACAGAGTCTCACTCTGTCACCCAGGCTGGAGTGCGGTGGTGCAATCTCGGCTTACTGCAACCTCCACCTCCCAGGTTCAAGTGCTTCTCCTGCCTCAGCCTCCTGAGTAGCTGGGATTACAGGCACCTGCCACCGCACCTGGCTAATTTTTGGATTTTTAGTAGAGATGGGATTTCACTATGTTGGCCAGGCTGGTGTCAAACTCCTGACCTCAAGTGATCTGCCCACCTCAGCTTCCCGAAGTGCTGGGATTACAGGTGTGAGCCACTGTGCCCAGCTTACTTTACTGATTATTAAATATTTTATATATCACCCCAGCCCTGGGCCTTAGTATCCCCTGCTGTAGACATTGAGGTGTTGGGAAGGCTGAGACCCAAGGCTGTCTCCTTTTCATCCTCATCAGTGCCAGCCGCAGTGGCCCACACAGAGATCCTGATTGATGCCCAACAGTTCTTGGAGGCATATGTGAGCCTTCGGGAGCTGGAACAGCTGCGAGAGGATACATGGGCACTCCTGGGAGTCCTGGAGTTGCCAGTCTTCCAGGGGCTGGACCTTCTGGCTGAGGCACTGGGCCAGGCTGTGGAAGCAGCTGCAGGGACTGCAGGGAAGCTGGCACGGGAGGACCCAGCCCTTCTGGTGGCTGCTGTGCGTGTGGCGGAGGTAGAGACTGGACGAAAACCTCCCCTAGGCCAGGCCCCCCGGGACTGGCGGCAGCGCTGTCTGCGGGCACTGCAGGAGGGTCTGGAGCGGGCCCACTTCGGGTCACCTGTGCTGCCCGCGCCAGGGGCCCTAGCAGAGTGGCTGGAGGCTCTGCGAGTGGCCCTGCCAGTTGAGTTGGCCACAGCTGAGGCACTAGTAGCGCCTTGCTGCCCACCACACTACAATGTGGTCCAGCTATGGGCCTACACCCTGCACAGTGGCCTGCACCGCAGCCTGCAGCACCTCCTTACAGGGCCTGAGCTGGGAGCTGCTGATGCCTTCACCTTGCTGCACTGGGCACTGCATGTGTACCTAGGGTCAGTGCCCTTGGGGCAGCGGGACGTGGGGGATCAAAGGCTGGGGCTTGGTGTGACACCAGGCCATCCATCTCCAGGCAGGAAATGATGGGGAGCCTAGAGTTGGGGCCTGAGGCTGATGTATCCCAGCTGGAGCCTCTCCTGACCGTGGAGAACATTGAGCAGCTGGAGGCAACATTTGTGGCCAACGTCCAGGTGAATAGTTGGGGCACAGGTCCAGAGAAGCCCTACTTATCTGCTGTGGGCCTTGATCTGCAGAGTTGAATGTGTACCCATCTCTGGCAGGATCAGAGTCCTGCTACATTCCTTTGCCCCTGGCCCCTTCCCCCAGGCAAATGTGGCCCAGTGGCTGCAGAATGCACTGGATGAGGAGGTAGCTGAGTGGGGCTGGAAGCAGGAGCCCAACACAGACTCATCGGGCTCCTATTACTCACCATTGCCAGCCATTGTGATGCAGGTAGGTGGGAAGTGGCCAGAAGGCAGCAGTCTCCATGGAGCAAGGGAGAGGAGGCTTTGCCAATGGCTGCTCATTTCTGCCTGCAGATCCTGGAGGAGAACATTCGTGTGGCCAGCCCGGTCAGTGAGTCACTGCAACGGCGGGTGCAAGGCATGGCACTGTCAGAACTGGGCGTATTCCTGAGGAGGTCTGCAGAGGCACTCACCCATTCCTGATCCCTGTCCCTGCTCCCCAGGCAGCCCAAAGGGGGTCTGGGTGAATAAGACACAGCACAGGGAAAGAGTTCTGTCAATCAAATACTTGGGTATCTTGGAGGTGGGACAGGAGTACCAAGGACTAGGGTTGTGGGGGTGCCAGCATAGCAGCAAGTCCAGGAGCCGCCTCTGCCCATTGCAGCTTCAGTGATGCACTGATCCGATTCTCCCGAGACCACCTCAGGGGGGAAGCAGTGGCCCCTCATTACGTGCCCTACTTACTGGCCACCCTCAACCACCAGTCAGCACTCAGGTACCAGAAGGCCCCCAGGGAGCCCCATCTTCCCTAACCCCCTATAGAGTATCTATTTTGCATGGACCCAGCCCACACTAGGACAGTAGGGAGTTTGGACTCACATCACCTGGGGGGTTCCAATTTTAGTTCTGCTGATTTCTAGCTGTGTGACCTGGGATGAGTTACCTAATCTCTCTGAATCTCACTTTTCTCAATATTATGTGGGTACTAATGGAATATTCTGAGAATCACATGAGGTAACATGCACAGTGCCTGCCTGGCACAGTGTCAATTGTTCATTCATCCAGCAAATATTTATCAAGGCCCGACTCTGTGCCAGTAATGCCTGGGGTTACAGTTGAGTGCACACACACACACACACACACACACACACACTCCCTCTTGGGTAGTGTGTTCTTTTTGGTGGGGTCAAGGAGGACAAATTAGTGATGATTTTTACTCCCTCCCCACTAGGATAGTGAGGAAATGAGGAAATAGAAACCGAAAGAATGTTTTGCTCAAGGTCGCACCGCGAATTACAGTCAGGTCCCACTGGGCTGTGTCCTTTGTAGCTCGCGGAGCGCCCGCCTCCCAGCCCTGGTCCTTGCCTGAGACTAGAAGTGCAGGGAGCCGTTCTCGCTCCCTCCCGCCAAACACTTACCCCACAAGGTGGCGCCCGAGGGGTTGGACCATCTAGGGCCATGCGGGCCTTGGCCTTGGTCCTGAAGCCGTAGCTTTGCTCGGTCCAGCTCCTCAGTGTCTGTCCTGCAGCTGGACGGGGCGGCTTCAGGGGCCTTGGCTCCAGTGGAAGCTGCGCTGGACGATTTGCAGAGGAGGATCTGCCGCTTGGTGTTGGAGGCGCTGCTGGCGGAGCTCCAGGTGAGGCATTCTTCAGGTCGGCATCGGAGCAGGAGGTGCAGAGGTGGAGGTACAGCGTAAGTACAGGAGTCTCCGCGGAAATGCCAGGTCTGGATCATTTCCCCAGCCCTTGTTCGCGACTTTGCCCTCGCGCCGGTGGCTGTCGAGCCCTGAGCTACTAGAAAGTGTGTGCAAACGGACAGAGCGCTTCTGTCGGGACTTCTGGCGCGTGCGGAACCCCACGGTTCAGGTGCGTTGGGGGAAAAGGCTGGAGAAGGAGTGGTGCGGGTAAGAGAGGCAACCTGCACCCGCCTGATTACCTCCCGCAGGTGCTGCTGGCTGAGGCCGAGCGCGCCGTGGTGCTTCAGTACCTGAGCGCGCTGATGCAAGGCCGCCTGGTGTGCCGCGGAGCCGACGAGAGGACCCAGGCGGCCGAGCGCCTGGAGCACGATGCTGCTCAGCTTCAGCAGCTTTTCCTCGGTTTGGTGAGAGCTTCTTGGGCGGGCAGACGGGGAGAGTCTCAGTGGTTGGGTGGGAGACCAGGGCCGGCTGAAACCCTACCCCGACGTGCTTAGGGCCTGGAGGAGAGCGCGCACTGCGCGCCGGTGCTGCTCGCCCTGAGGAAGCTGCTGAACCTCCACGACCCCGCGCTTCTGGGCCTCGAGGTGGCTTGCCTGCGGCAACAATTTCCCGATGTGAGGTGCGGACGGGGGTCGGGGAGGAAGGAGAAGCCGGAAGGGGGACAAGGGCCGGGCTGATGTGCCCCTGTTGCCCCTACAGCGAGGACCACGTCTCCGCCCTCTTGGACCTGCGCGGGGGCTTGTCCCAAGAGCAGCGCCTGGCCGCGCTCAGCTTCCTTAAGGCTGGGCCGCCGCCCTCGCCCTGCGCTGACCGCCGCGCCCTCTTCAGTCTTGTGCCTGCACCAGCGCCTGAGTCGGCCTCCTGCCTGCGCTCGGGGTTCTGCGCCTGAGCCCCGCTGTCCGCAGAATAAACCACGGCTCCTGGACCCGCGTCTGTGTGTGTTGGAGAAGGGGTCGAATAAAAGTGCCCGCGAAGGTTGGGGGAATCCTTGCACAATGACACGCCCAAGGTATCCTGGCTCCCGTACTGGTACACGAGCTGCGCCCCTTCTAGGCAGGCATTGGCCCTCTGTGCGGACTGCGTTTCCCGAGGCCGCGGACTAGGCTCTACGTCTCGGCACCCAGGCAGTGAGCGGAAGTCTCGGCCGCCCTGGCAGCCTGTGAGCCTTTGAATCCAAGAAACCCAAGGGGGCCTTCGGAAGGGGGCGGGCCCAGGACCACGAACACGCCCCCTCGCCCCGGCCTGGCCCCGCCCCCAGTGGCCTCGGGGACGCGCCGGCGCGGAGACTGACGCGAAGCCCCCAGCCTTCCTAAGAGCGTGCGCGCGCCCGAGGGTGTGCGTCATCGGCGTTGGCTCCCGGCGGCTGGGTGGTCGGTGGCCGGTGTAGCAGAGCGGGGGCTGCGGGCGGCAAGAAGAGGAGCGAACAGGTGGGGGCGCGGCACGCGGACAGAACCCCCACAAAGGCCGGGAGGAGGCGCGCGACGCGACCTTTCCTGATCTCCGGGAGAATCCTTCACTCCATTGTCTCCTGGCCCCACCCTCCATTGGGCACGCCCTTCGCCTTATCTTACGCCGCTTATTGGCTGCATGTCACGCCCTTCCTCGATTTCTGGTTTCCCATTGGCTCTTCGCCTTATCCTCTCCCGGGGCTTCTTATCGGCACAGGCCACACCCTCTCATTTGTCACCAGACCCCGCCTTTAGTAGTCGGGGGCTCCTCCCCCATCCATCCTTTAATTATGCACCTAGTGCTGGGTGCTTCGTACACTAGGGTGAATCAGACCCGGTTCCTGCCTTCGGGGAGTTCAGGGGATGGTGGGAGGACACGGACCTAGGATCCGACAGTGACAGCTCTGAGTAAAAAAGTCGCCGAAGCAGTGGGACTCTAGACGCGGGGAAGGCTTCCTGGAGGAGGTGAGGCCTAAAGTGAGACTTGAAGAATGCTTAAGAGTTTGCTCCAGAAATATATTGCAAGGACATTCTTGGCGGAAGAACCCGAGACACGAAAGGAACGCGTTTTCTGGTAATTTCGAGGAGGTATGTTGAATGAAAGGTGAGATGGAGGGGAGTGGCCCAGGTAGAAGCCTGTAAAGGGTGAGGAGTCCAGAAAAGTGTAGTTAGTTAAAGGGAGTAAAGCCTGAGACCTGAAGTCTTTTCAAGCAGCTGGTCATTAGGCAGGGTAGAAGGGAGTAGAGACGGAGAAGATGAGGTCTAGGTAGTGAAGCAAAGTGCAGGGAAGGAATAATTCTAGTTCTGATAGGAGCAGGGCTCTTGGGTTCATTTATTTATTGAGCAACTGCTCTAGGCCAGGCACTGTTCTGGGGACACAGCTGGGAATGTTGGAAAGGATAAAACAGAGAACCATCAAATATACCTATCATGTAAATATAAAGTGTACTGAAGTACACTTCAGATGGTGATGACTGCTACAGAGAACAATTTGGGAAAGGGAAGATAGTTGAGAGGGGAGAGGAGATTTACTATTTTATAGTGGGCATGTTCTTAGAGAGGCTTTTCTTTTCTTTTTTTTTTTTTTTGTGAGATAGAGTTTTGCTCTTGTTGCCCAAGCTGGAGTGCAATGGCACAATCTTGGCTCACTGCAACCTCTGGCTCCTGGGTTCAAATGATTCTCCTGCCTCAGCCTCCCAAATAGCTGGGATTACAGGCATGTGCTACCACGCCTGGCTAATTTTGTATTTTTAGTAGAGACAGGGTTTCTCCATGTTGGTCGGGCTGGTCTTGAACTCCTGACTTCAGGTGATCCGCCTGCTTCAGCCTCCCAAAATGCTACAGGCATGAGCCACTGTGCCCAGCCTAAAGAGGCTTTTCCAGTAACATGATATTGATGCAGAGATTTGAGGAAAGTGAGTGACCCATGCCATTATATAGGGGGAGGAACATCCCAGACATATTCTGTTTGAAATGGATATATTCTGTTGATATGCCTGTCAAACATTCAAGTTGGGCTGGGTGCAGTGGCTCATACCTATAATCCCAAAACTTTGGGAGGTCAAGGCAGGGGGATCATGAGGCCAGGAGTTCAAGATCAGCCTGGCCAAGATGGTAAAACCTCATCTCTACTAAAAATACAAAAATTAGCCAGGCATGGTGGTGGGCAGCTGTAATCCTAGCTACTCGGGAGGCTGAGGCAGAGAACTGCTTGAACCCAGGAAGTAGAGGTTGCAGTGAGCCGAGATTGCACCACTGCACTCCAGCTTGGGCAACAGAAGTGAGACTCCATCTTAAACAAACAAACAAAAAACATTCAAGTGAAGACACTGCACTGACACTGGACATGATGGCGTGTGCCTGTGTTTCCAACTATTTTGAAGGCTGAGGTGGGAGGATCATTTGAGACCAAGAATTCACGACCAGCCTGGACAAATAGACCCTATCTCAAATTGCAATGAAATTGGCAACACTGGTCTAAAGTTTATGGAAGAAGTCTGAGCCAATGTATTTAAAACCACGAGAGTGGATGAGAACAGCTAGGGAGTGAACATAAATGCAGAAGTTTCCATAACAAGTCCTGGAGGGTTACAGTGTTAAGAGGTCAGGGTCATAGGGATTACCAGCAAGGGAGGCCAATGAGAAACAGCCAGTGAGGTAGGGGGAGAACTAAGTTTGAGTGTGTTTGGAAAACCAAGTGGACAGCATGTTTTCAGGATGCAGTGATTAACTATATTGGGTGCTGATCCATATGAAGGTCATTGCTGGTTATTGTTGACCTTGATCAAATCAATATGGATGGAAAGCAGGGAAGAAAAGGCTAATTGGAGTGAATTTAAGAGAGAATGGGAGGCCAGCCATGGTGGCTCACGCTTGTAATCCCTGCACTTTGGAAGGCCAAGGCGGGCAGATCACAAGGTCAAGAGATTGAGACCATCCTGGCCAACATGGTGAAACCCTGTTTCTACTAAAAATATAAAAATTATCTGGGAATGGTTGTGCGTGCCTGTAGTCCCAGCTACTTGGGAGGCTGAGGCAGGAGAATCACTTGAACCCAGGAGGCAGAGGTTGCAGTGAGCAGAGATCGCGCCACAAAAAAAAAACCAGGTGGCAGAGCAAGACTCCGTATCAAAAAAAAAAAAAAAAGAGAGAGAACAGGAAAGAAGGAACTGGAGACTGGGTATAGTTGACTCAAGGTATGTGGTGTAATAGGAGCAGATAGAGGGAGACCTAGCGGGGCTGTAGCTGGAAGAGTGTGGATTCTAGTGAGGGTTTTGTTTTGTTTTTTTTAAGATGGAGAAATAACAGCATGTGTTTGTGCTGATGGAAAGACTCCAGTAGAGAGGAAGAGATTGATGATGTAGGAGAGAGGAGAAATGCTGGAAGTGAGTCGCTGAGCAGGCAAGGGAGCTCGGCAGCTGGAGCCTCTCCAGGCAGTCTCTGGGGAGAGACTGAGTCCTGGAACAGAGTTGGGATGAGCACCCTGACACTGGCCTTGGATGACCACTTGAAAAATCCCTCAGATAGGGGACAGGCCAGAGATTGGCTTGTTTGGATTTGCTGAAGCTTCCCTCTGCTCCCCAAAAGCAGATTCTAAATTTGGATTTCAACAGATGGCCCAGAGGAGAGAGGGGATTCTGGGGGGAGCTGGTGTTAAGTGTGGGGCCCTCAGACAGATTCAAATTGAGGCCAAATGGGCAGGAGGATGTGGATAAAGCCAGGTGGGTGGGCAGGGGTGGCACTAAGAAGATGCCATAGGCAGAAGGCAGCCCCTGAGGCCTTCTCACCTACCTAATCTGTCCAGGCAGCTGAGGCTGCACTGTACCACCTCCCAGATTTAGTGACTGCTGAGCACAGAGATTAGAATCAGGAGTAAGGGGCTCATTCCTTGCCTTCAGGAGCTCACAGGCTGAGAAGATTCCAGTAACCACCAATCTAGGTGGGTGTTTAAAACTCTTGCTTTTGGCTGGGTATAGTGGCTCATGCCTTTAATTCCAGCACTTTGGAAGGCTGAGGCAGGAGGATCGCTTGAGGCCAGGCATTGGAGGCTGCAATGAGCTATGATTATGCCTTTGCACTCCAGCTTGGGTGACAGAGGAAGACCCTATCTGAAAAAACAAAAATGAAAAAAAAAACCCTGCTTTCCCCCAGCCCAGTATACTTGGGCAAGTCTGCTGGAGGCAATGAATGCTGCAGCCATTCAGACCCCTGGTAGCAGAGCCTAGGCCCACCAAGGGCCCAGCAGAGGCAGTGTGGAGCACAGGGCCTGCAGGTACTCTGGTCACACCCACTCATGCTGGTCTCCACATGCCCTTCTGTGTCCCCAGAGGTCGACAGTGTGGGGACTTGGAGTGACTCAGCTGGATGTGACCCCCAGGACAGAATGGTGCTGGACTCGGGGGCTCAGGCGTATGAGCAGGCACCCCACAGCCCGCCTACCAGTCCCTCATCCCTGCGCCATAGGCTGAAGCCCTCAGACCGAGATGGGCCACCACTGTACCCCTGGTCTCAGTCCCTGGCCTTGCCTCTGGCTCTGGCAGTCCCCCCAGCACTGCAGCCCCAGCCTGAGCAGCAGCCCTTCTCACAGCTGCACTTGGACCACCGTGGCCACATGCGTCGCAGTGAGAGCACCTACACTGTAAATAGTACTGGCCGGCGGGGTCGTGGCACCCTGGGACGGCCTCCACCTGGACGGCGACGGAACCCAGGTGGGGGCACCCTGCGGCCTGCAGCCTCCCTGCCTCACATTGCTAAGACTCAAAGGGATGCAGGTCATGGTGCTAGCAAGAGCCCCTGCATGTTGGTGGCCCTGCGGCCAACCAACATGGACCGTGAGCGAGACAAGTTCTTCCAGTCCCATTACACCTACAATCCACAGTTCGAGTACCAGGAGCCCGTGCCCACTGCTGTGCTGGAGAAGTACTCTGAGGCCTCTGGACAGTTCATCCATCAGGTCAGTCCAGCCTGCCCACCACACCCTGGCCCTGACCACCCAAGGGGCTTGTCCTGACCAGCCACTGTGGCCCTGTGTACAGGCAATTGGCATCATTGAGGCTGTTCTGGAGAAGTTTGGAACCTATGAACACTTTGAGGCTGCCACTGGGGGGCAGCTGCTCACCAAGTGCCAGATATGGTCCATTGTGCGCAAATACATGCAGAAGGAGGGCTGCGTTGGGGAGGTGAGCTTGTCCTGCCTGCAGAGCCCCTCCTCTACATGCCCCAAATCAGGATGTCTTGTGGGTGGTCCCAGGCAAGCTCCACACCTGACCAACCCCTGCCCCTGCCCCAGTGAGGTGGGAGCTGTTTCTGAGCAGAGGTGGTGGAGGGCAGGTGTCCTGGCCAAGTGTCTGGCCACCTGCATCCTGGCCCCGGGCTGGTGGCCATGGCTCAGAGCATTGCCACCTGCAGGTTGTGGTGCAGCTGAGTGAGAATCTGCTGTCCCAGGCAGTGATGATGGTGGAGAACAGCCGGCCCACATTAGCGATCAACCTGACCGGAGCCCGCCAGTACTGGTTGGAGGGCATGCTGCGGCATGAGATAGGTCAGGATGTGAACATCTGGGCGGTGGGGTAGGCATGAAAGGGGACTGGGAGGTGGGAGGGGTGGGAAGGAGGGACCCCAGTAACTCCCCTTTTTGTTTCTCCCCCTTCCCTCCTGAGGTCGGGGCCTTCCCTTCCTGAGCAGCTACCTCCTCCTTTTGGCTCTCAGAGGTAGGCCAGAACATGCCTGCCCACACTCTGGGCGCGCCCTCATCTCTTGCTCCTTTTGGGTATATTTTTCTCTCTCCTTCCTCTCCGACTTGTCTTGGCAGTGGGGGCAAGGTTGATGAGGCCCTGACAGGCCAGAGGGAGAACCCTCAGGGTCCCATCAGGCTAGCCACCACGCGGGCCCTCCAGGGTGGAAGTCCAGATCCTGGGAATGGACTTGGCTTGAGGACACACGGGGCCTGGTTTAGGAGGGGACAGGCCAGGCTGGGCAGGAGGGCGCAGGGCACTAACCACTATTCCTATCTGTCTGTCCCTCTTCCTCGGCAATACTGTTGCTGTGGGCAAGAGGTGTTCTTTACCAGGGGCATCAGCGTGACTGTTCAAAATGATATGGGCACCCAGGATGTTGGGCAGGGTGGTATATGTATTCTTGTGCTCAGGAGGGCTGGGGGCAATGTCAGTTCGGGAGAGTTCGTACACGTGCGTAGGTGTGTGTGTGTGTGTAGGGTGGGGGACAGATGGATGGGAGAGGATTCATGTATGTGAGCCTCTGTGGATCCTTAGGTGCGAGTCTACTGGAGGAGGGCTCCACGCTGCCTGGGGCTGGGAGAACTTGTGTGGTAGCCTGAGTTAGGGAGCATGAGGATGGAAATGTCACGGCCAGAGCCCCGGGCCGGGTGGAAGAGGGCCTGGGCTGGGCTCACAGGTGGGTCCCCAAACGCCCCGCCCAGCGCCACCTCCTCTCGCCCTCCCCGCAGGCACCCACTATCTGCGGGGCGTGAACAACGCGCGCCAGCCGTGGCACAACGCGGAGGGCCGGCTGCGGTACGGGCTGCGGCCGGCAAACCCCACAGAGGAGGGCCTGGCCAGCCTGCACAGCGTGCTGTTCCGCAAGCAGCCATTCCTGTGGCGCGCCGCGCTGCTCTACTACACCATTCACCGCGCTGCGCGCATGTCCTTCCGCCAGCTCTTCCAGGACCTGGCGCGCTACGTGCAGGACGCCAACGTGCGCTGGGAGTACTGCGTGCGCGCCAAGCGCGGCCAGACAGACACCTCGCTTCCGGGTGGGCGCCAGCGTAGGGGAGGTCCCTAGGGTGGGGCGGTCTAGAGGCAGGGCCTCGGGCGAGTGGCGGGGCTCACCGACTTCCCGCGCTCCCAGGTTGTTTCAGCAAGGACCAGGTGTACCTAGACGGCATCGTGCGCATTCTGCGACATCGCCAGACCATCGATTTCCCGCTGCTGACCTCACTGGGCAAGGTGAGGGACTGTGGACCTTGAGAGCCTCAGCCAGCTCCCTGCTTTGCCATAGTATACCCTGAGCCTCAGATTGGTACTGGACTGAGGGTTGGGTGTCAGGCCTCTGCTGGCGGGGGAAGCGTGGGTGGAAGTGAGAACAAGAGATGAAATGATTCTGACAGCTAAAACCAGGTGCCTAATGGAGGCTGCAGGTGTGTTTAGAAACTGCATCTCAAAGGAGGTGAACATTCCAGGCCAAGGGAGCAATCAGGAAGGCCAGGGGAAGGAGGCTGCAGAAATGGACAGGGACCAACTCTCTGGCACTGGCATTTGTGCCAGCCCAAGGAAAGTGGACCTCGTCTGAAGCAACAGGGAGTGGGAGGAGCTTTAAGCAGAGGAGTGGCACTGATAATTTGCTTTAGAAGGCGCCCTCTGGATGTTTTATGGGAGGTGGATTGGAGAGAGGCCTAGGGAAGGGAGGGAAAGGGCATGAGGAGGAGGCCTTTCCTGTCACTCCTGCAGAAGGGATGGTGGTCTGGTCTAACCAGTGGCCATGGGGTTTGAGAGGAAGGGACTAGCTGGAGGGCTCTTCAGCGAGGGGAATCATTTTAACTCAGTGGCTTCCCTGATGGGAGGGTGAGAGTCCAAGCCCCCTCCCTGGAATCTGACCTGGGTGACTGTGAAGAGGGTGGAGCTGGCATAAGCTGGCACCCAGGAGTTGACCGTTGGATATGGGGCCAGTCTGAGGGCTATCCAGGGGAAGACGTTAAGGAGGCAGTTGGATGCCCATGTTTGGAGGTGAGGGGAGAGGGGTTGTGGGACATCTCTGACAAATAGAAACTATTGAGAGAAAAAGCAAAGACCCAGGATTAAGCCTAGAATGTTGCAGTACAAAACGTTGTAGCTGCTTGTGGATCAGGAAGGGAGAGGAAGGAGTCCCGGAGCAGAGGGCAGTAAGCTGTAAGCAGTGGGCTGGAACCAGCCACCTGAAAGTCAGGGGCTGCTGCCTATGCCTGATACCCAGCTTCCTCCTGCAGGTGTCCTATGAAGACGTGGACCACCTGCGGCCCCATGGGGTGCTGGATAATACCCGGGTGCCCCACTTCATGCAGGACTTGGCACGCTACCGGCAGCAGCTGGAGCACATCATGGCCACCAACCGGCTGGATGAGGCAGAGCTGGGTCGTCTGCTGCCAGACTAATGTCAATTGAGGGCTGCAGGCAGAGGCCCTGGACAGAAGCTCCAGATGGGCCCCCAGAACATGAAGCTGTTTGCTCTGTGCTTCCACGGCCTGGGTGTTTCTTGGGGGTGTTGAGAGGGCAGGAGCATTCCATGAGGAGGAGCGGCAACATCAGAGGGTTTGTGTCCATTGCTAGCCTTCTTGGGGCCTGGGGACTTGCAGCAGCATGTCTGGCAAATTGAGTTGCCCTCCGCCTTGCAGCTCTCGGTTGAACAGAGGGAAGGCATGGGGGCAGGAAGGGAGCTGAGCGTTGATGGGGATGGGGTGGTTTGGGAATAGAAACTTGTTCTTGCATGAGATGGCTTTGGGTGTCGGGGTACTCCAGTGTCTCCCTTCCCCCACCTGGCCCCTCGGTGCTCCTTCAGCATTTGTGCTGTCTACCTCTCACTGGGTCCTGGTGGGGGTTGGGATCCCTTCTCCTGGGGTGATTGATGGCCTGAGCCTGGGGTCAGTAGAGACCCAGCTGGTCTGGGGTATTCTTTCCAACACTTTGCCTTTCTCACTGATTATGTATTTATTCCATATTTATGCGCTCTATTTTCTGTGGTGGGGAGCAGCAGCTCCTGAAGATTCCATGGGGAGAACAGGATACTCCTTACTGGAAGGCACCGATTTTCCCAGCCCCACTCACATCACACACACACACACACACACACACACACACACACACCACACACACACACACACACACACACACACAGTGATTCAGTGATTCAGGCCTTGTGAGTCAAGCCCAAAAGTTCCCTTGGCCCTGTCCCCACCCCCTCCACTGGCCTCTGCTGTTCCTGTCTCACTCTCACAGCTGGTCTCTGGCAGAGGTTAGCACAACCTAGGAGGAGCTGCAATTGTGCCTGAGGGACAGGCCCCTAGAGTTTGGTGGCCCAAGTCCTGAACCCCTCCTAGACCAGGTGAGGTGCACAGGTGGTTGCTGCTTCCAGTTTCCCTTCAGACTTAGCTGTGTGAGCCCCATTCCTATCCTCTGGCCTTAGTTTTCCCATCTGTAAAACTCAGAAACGCAGTTGGAAAGTCCTTATTCATATAGTCAGCAAATATAATATGTGTACAGCGCCTTTTGTGTAAGTTACTAGTCAGAATCCTCACTGAGCTCCCAGTCCAGAGGGAAGCCAGACAATTAAAACAGTAATGACAATGATGTCTGTGGCCTCTGTCTACTCCCCTCTTTCTGCTCCCCTCTTCTAGTCTCACCTCTCAAGGCTGTGAGCTCTAAGCCCTCCCTACATGGAGAGAAGTCCCCCTCCCTTTGCTACATGTTAAGCCCAGGGACTTGCATGGGGTTGAGCTGGTACCTACGCAGGCTGCCAAGTGGCTCATTAGGGAAAATGGGTTGTGTATGTGGGCATGAGGGTCAGGACCATGTCCCACCAGGGCACTGGGTCTGAGGTCTCCAGGGTGCAGCCTGGGCTCCTAAGGGCAGATTAGGACTGAGGACTGGGTGGTGACTGTGGTGGGCTTGGGGCTGCCCAGGTCACTGGGACTCAGGGGCACCCACCCTCAGTTCCTAGGCAAACAGCCAGAATCGTGGAGAGAGCCCAGGTCCTTGCTGACCCTCCAGAGTTTCTCCACTTCTAGCGGTACTGGGCTAGACCGAGCCTTGGTGGCATCTGATCCAGCTCCGGCAGCATCCCAGGTCCTATCCAGCATGGGCGGGCACAGTCGGTCAGCGTTCTGGGCTTCAGGAATCTAAAGATGACGGGGACAGTTGTCAAGGAGGTGGGGCCTGCCATCCGCTCCCCAGGCGATACCCTCCCGCCAAACCAGCTCAGGGTTTGGGTGGCCTCACACCTTCGGACTCGTCCCCTTCCTCGAAGTCGGGCTCGGGCTCTGGGTCAGGCTCGGGCTCTGGGTCAGTCTCGGGCTCTGGCTCCAGTTCCGGCTCTGGTTCTGCCTCGGGCTCGGGTTCCAGCTCCGGCTCTGGTTCAGCCTCTTCAGAGTCCTCGGCTTCCAGCTCTGGCTCTGGTTCCTCTGGGGTCCCGGATTGCACCGCCTCGGAGCCCTCAGGGCCCCCGGGCTCGTCAGGGTCTGAAGCTCTGGGCAGCCCGGGGCATGTGGTCCCCGAGCCGGGTGCCTCAGGCGTCCAGTGGCCTGGGCACGGAGGGTCATAGCTGCGGTCCCGGTAGCCTGGGACAGAAATGGAAGTGACTGAGGCTCAATTGACCCCGGTGCAGTTTCACACTCGCCTGCTTCAGGGGGAGACGACAACCCCGCCCTCCCCGGACCTTTGCTCCGCCCCCTCCCTGCCCTAGGCCCGGCCCTGTGCGCTTACCCGGGCCCACGTGCTGCCAGTCCCAGGCGGGGTCCGGCGCGCCAGTGGTACGATGGGCACAGCGCAGCAGCTCCTGGCAGGCAGCCTCGCCCTTGCCCTGCACCAGCAGCAGTAGGCGGCGCACCCTGCGCTCGGCATCAGGCAGTGAATCCAACGCCTCATACTCAGGCCCGGTGAGCACGCCCCGTGCCAGCAGTGCGTCCAGCAGCAGCCCAGAGTCCGCCTGCAGCGTCTCGACCAGGCGTTTCCGCTCGCGGTCTATAGTCTCCGACGCCCGCTCCTGCGCATTGCCCATTGTTGGAGCTGCTTGGGGAAAGGGGAGAGAAGTAATAGGGGGTTGCCCTCCTTGCTCTCCGCGCCGCCTCTGACCTCTCTCAATGCCTCCAGTGAACACCTGGGCTGGGGTCTAAGTTCACCTTGATCCCAGCCTCCAGTCAGCTCCGCAAGCACAGGACCTGGAGGCCAACACAGGGAACTCAGCGTCCTGTCTCCTCCTCAGGCTCCTCCTTCTGTCCCTAAACGTCAGCCGTGGCTCTCCTCTCCCCTGCCTCTCCCAGGAGTCGCATCCACTCTCTGAATGCCCTCCCCAACCAGGACCTTCTGAGCTCCAGCCCCGGCAGATCTGAGCCGGGTTCAGACCCTGTTTATCCAAACTATTGCCTTTCTCTCAAATCTACTTCCCCACCTATCCAGGCAGAAAAACCTAGGATTGAAGCTGATACTCCACACCCAGCTTGCAGACAAGTCCTTTCCAGTCTGTCTGCCGAATATTTCTCTCACCATCCTCAGCACTTACTAAGTCTAGCCTTCTGCCCCCTGTTTTGGCCCCGCAGAACCTGGGATCAGAGCTCCCTGCTTCCACACTCTCCCCTCCAATCCCCTCTGCACCCAGAGCATAAAGTGCTGACAGCCTCCCTGCCCCTCTTCCCTTACCTTGACCCTGAGATGCAACTTCACAAGACAAGCCCTTCCAAGCAGGATGCCCCTGCATCCTCTCACCAGCTGCGACCCCAATGTGGTCTCATGACCCTTCCTGGTCCCCTGATTCCTGAGCAAAGATACCAGAATCTTTTTCAGGCCTAGCTCTGACCGAGATCTCTTGATATCACCTGAGACCCACCTATCTCCCTGCTGACCTGGGAATGACCTACAAACATTTTGTTTGATCTTAAAGTACCTAGGGCCTAGCTCATACAAGCTACCAACAAATGCTCACCAAACTTGGATTTTTCTCCATGATTTTCCTCCATAGATCTCCCTATTTTGAGAGACTGTATGGTTTTTTGTTTGTTTGAGATGGAGTCTCGCTGTTGTGCAGTGGTACCATCTGGGCTTACTGCAACTTCAGTCTCTCGGGCTCAAGTGATTCTTGTGCCTCAACCTCCAGAGTAGCTGGGATTACAGGTATGCACCACCACGCCTGGCTAATTTTTGTATTTTTAGTAGAGACAGGGTTTCATCATGTTGGCCAGACTGGTCTTGAACTCCTGACTTCAAGTGATCCACTGCCTTGGGCTCTTAAAGTGCTGAGATTACAGGCATGAACCACCACGCCTGGCTCATGAGAGACTATCTCTACCAAACAGCA